TTGCTATGCTCTGAATGCTTCAACACCCCTGAGAAGGCAGAAACCAGCAAGGAGATGCAAGGACACGCGGTGCTGGCAGCCTCCTGACTGATTGTCATGGTAACCCTGGTTAAAGTCCCACCAGGAAAATGACTTCTCCCACAGCACTTGACCCCACAAGGTGACGGGTACCACCAGCACCCCTGGGAGCACGATCGCTCTGGCAGGGAGTCCCTGGAGTTATGCAGCAAAAGATGAAGTAGAGCTTCCCCCCAAGCTGTGGTTCAAGGTCCCTGGGCAAGGTGCCTGTGGGGTGATGGTTAACCTTGGTGCCCATTTAAAAGCAGCATAACAGTGTTAATGTCTGCCCTCACAACCCTGGCACCTTCCTCCCTGAAGCTATTAAAGTTCAGAGGACTTTATAAACCACTTGTAGCAGCTTTCACGCAGAAGACTGGAGACACCACGTTTTTTTATTCTGCCACAAAAAGTAATTCAGCCTGCGATAACACCTGTTCTGGCATCAGTTATAACCACAAAATGGGTCAAACAGCACTGTATTGCGTTGCAATGCATACTTTTTGGTTTTCCGCTTTCCAGCATGGGCAGGGTGATAGCAAAGATGGCTGGGATGGTGATGGAGCTCAGTGCGGGCAGAGCAATTTGTTCAGGACACTTAGCGAGCCAGTGGCAGTGCCAGGACCAGAAGTGCTGGATCTCGGTCCTAGGCAGAAGTCTTTCCATTATACCATTAAAACAGACCAGCTCTTACCTGGTTACTCTGCCAAATGCCCTCTCTACAATCAAAGCAGAAATTCTTTCTTTCATTTTACCTGTTTCTACCACTATTGATGTCCTGGCAAACACAGTGAAGGAAGATCTGCTAGACTTCCAGGTGACCAGAGGTGCTCCATCTGTGCACTGGTGCTGGCAAAGAGTGGGAAGCTTCACTGCTCTTCACAACATCATCTGCCAGGTCCTGTACGAGAAAGAGCTTTCATACAAGGGGCCATGCTCGGGTGGTGGACAACCTTGTGCCATGCTGGCTAGGAACAGGCGGGCACAGGGGAAGGCAAGAGTGAGGAACTGGGAGGCAGACCAAATGTCACCATGTGCTCTTCAAAGCAAACCCATAAAACTCAAGGTATTGGGGCCAATTTCATAATGCAAAGGCCATGAAACTGCAAAGCTGGTAATGGCATAGGAGTACGATTGAGCCTTAGGAGCCCTCACTCTTAAAAATACACATATTTTTTTGAAAAGCCAGGAAACTTCGGACTCTTTCTCCAGGTCAGTTCCTTGGGGCTCAAAGCTGCCTGATGGCAGGGGTTCCTTCATTAAGGATAGCCTGATAATGATGTGCTTTATCAGAAGAGACCAGAAAAATCCCTCCTTGACCATACCTATGGGACCAAAACACAAACAGCTTCTCTGTTAAGGGCAGAAGAAAGCAATACTGCACATGCACAGGCAAAGGGGTGGGCAGAGACCCACTCCATTACTGATCTGTTGGCAAAAAGTGCTGTGAGGCAACCACCCTCAGGGAACCAAATTAAACCGCCCTGAGGGAAGCGAATTACTGCACATTCACTGCACCCTGTGTGTGATAACTGCACCTGAACACTGACTCAGCCAAGCACTGTGCCCGGAGCTGCCTTCTGCACCAGCAAGCCGATGCTGCCAGCCAGTCCTGCTGCCCACATGCCTGGAGCAGGAGATGTGCTCACAGCACAGCTCATCAGGTCAGGGCACACCTCTCCCTACACCCTGCCGAGTGCTCTGAAGAGCTGCTTCACTATCGAGACACCGCAAGGGAAGGCACTGCATGCTGCAGGAGACCTGCGCACATGGTCACTTTGTGCCTCCTGATAAGCTTCTGTCAGGGCAAAAGTATTATTTCACATCACTGTTTTGAGGTGAAGACACAGGTCTGCTCCCTTCCTCAAAGAGTGCCAGGGGAGAGGATGATACGACTGTTATCAGTAGCATCCCTGTGGCCCTTCCAGTGCTACTGAGAATGAATTAACTGTATCTGGCTCCAGATCAGGCCCCGGAGGTGGAGCTGGCTCCCTTACAAATTCTTATGCTATTTGTAGCATCTCTCCAATCCCCAGGGCTTAGGCTGCTGGCTGAGAAACCTGCTGGTATCAGTTTTGGTTTGTTTCTAAGACATTTCTCAGCATTGTGGTTGCACGAGAAGCTGAAAACTCATGTTTCAAAACCCCAGCCAGAAGGACAGGTGCTGCCGTTGCTATTTCCACAGCACCATGGCGTTCGGGGGGGTCTCCAAGCTAGAAAGATAAACCCATCCTGGGTTTCCTAGGTCTTAAAGTTTCTAAAATGCTAAGCAAGACTCCTATTTCAGGGTGCGCTGGGTGGCACTGTTGCAGAGCTGGGTGCCGATGAGCAGAACTCCCTGCAGAAGCAGCAAAAAGGCGTCCTGCTCCCACATTCTGCCCTGGCTGCTGGCAGAGCTGCTGGACCAGCATCTCTCTGTGCAAGGCAGGACCTCAGCAGCTTTTCTGACCTGTTGTGGCTGGTATAGAGATCTTCAGCACAGCTTCCTAATCTTCGTTTGACATGTTTAACACTTTGGAGACCTTTGGGAGCAGGGAAAGTGCCACTAGGGAAGCAGAAGTAAGGCCTTGACCCAGGGCAGAGGAGAGCTGCCCTGCATAATCTCCCATCCTGTTTTCAGGGCTATCGCTGCGTGTGAGAGCACTGCCATCACTGGCCTCCTTTGCCCAATAACATTTCTGGCAGTAGGCAGTTCCTCAGCTGCGGGTTCAAAGCCAGACATGCAAGAAGTACTTCTCAAATTCTAAACTTTCCCGTAACACCTATTGACTCCATCCCAGTTGTCAAAGCAACATGTTACCCAGCAGACAGTGCCAACATGCCACGAGTCAGTCATATGCATCATCTGGCCAGAAACAGGAGTATCCATTAGCTTGGGCTCATGAGGCAGAGGAGAGCAGACACTTTGCTAACGCGCCAGCATCCCTTGCACGTTTTTTTTTTTTCGCAAGGGCTCGGTAACCAGACAGAACCTACAGGGCCACCGCTTGGGAGGAAGGTGGCACATGGAAATATCCTGATGGTCAACATTATCTAAGAGAAATCACATCCCACTGCCTACAAACATTCCTCCAAATGCTAAGTCTTGCCCCATCAGCCCAGCAGTGTTGAGCATACTTCCCAGTAGCACTATGCAGCTCGCATTTGGTACAGCACACCTCCTGGCCAGCTCTGCAGCTGTTTGAGATCTTCAGCCACATTGGAACAGCAAACCTGGGATGTCAGCCACTCATGACAGCGGTAAAGACTTGAAGCACAGAGGAAGAAGCATACATTCCCATCCTCTGTGTAGCTCATTGTAGAGATAAACACATACAGGACTATCAATGAGGGGTCTCCATAGCAACTTGTGGTTTCTTGCCTCTGCCTGAAATGAACCACTTCCTCTGGCGCTCTTGCCATTCAGAAGAGACTTCTGGTTTCTCTTGGCTTTTAGAGGTGATTTTTATTCACTTCACCCGCAAAAAACTTTTTGTCTTCTAAGCTCTCCCTTTGCTGCTAGTGGAGGTTTCATGTTGGGGCTAAACCAGAAACCACAGGTGCCGTGAGGTCTGGGACACACACTGGGACTTGCCACTGGTTCAGGACTTGGGTTTTGGTCAAGACAGAAAGAACCTGAAGCGATCTGGAGTATCCTGACTCACAGTGCTTGCTTGGGAGACCCCAGGAGGCCCCTTGCTGTGTTAAGCTGAACCAGAGAAAACATGACATGCAGAGGACCACCTCTTGGTTCCCAGTGTCATCATAGAGAATCATGCTGATCTGAAAGGGAAAACTGAAACACTTTACAAAGGCTAAAGGCTACACCAAGGAGCTGTACCATCACTGTCTTCCAAAGCATTGTGAGAAACATGCAGAAAAAGGTAGAACGCTGCCATGGACTCAGCAGTTGGCCTTGAAAAAAGCCACAGCCCCCTTTGGCAGCCTAACTCCTCATAGGATACCACAGCAGCAATAAGCATAGACTTCCAGGGGATTTCACTGAACTTCCTTCTGTCTCCTCCGTCCTCTGGCTTTGAAGGTCACTGTCAAATGGAATTGAGTTTTCTTCCCTCTGTTACCAGCAAGACAACAACCTGCCCTCAATTCCTGCATTAATGCAACACTATGATGTGAAAAAAGGGTCTGACTGCCTCAGGGAACAGACTTCAGAACCAAGTTTTCACCAGACACTGAATGGCAGCTAGAAGCTCAGGATGGGAAGGGACCTGCTTGGTCATCTTGGCTTTGCTCCACTGGCTCAGAGTTCACATGATCATCTGCACCATACAGAAACTCTTGATAGTTGCTCTTCCCCCACCAGCACTCTGCTCTTCTAGCTCCCAGACATCCATCCGAGCTCCCCACCTAGGCAGAAACCAGATCAGGCACTGAGAGCCCACCTGAGCACTTCTCAGGGGTCAGATGAGGAGACTGGGGCTCACATGCTGTGAAATCCTAACCCCGACTTGGCCATGAGGTCCTTGCATGGGCTTAGACGCTTCTTGGCTTGAAAGCCTCTGTTCTGTCTGTGAGAAGAGCTGATCCTTATTACCAGGCAGCTGTGGCATTTGGATTAGTTACATGCAGAGCGCTGAGGCAATGAACAACGCACAGCATCACTCTCTCAACACTGTCATTTGAGGGAAACCACATAAAACACAAACACTGATGGTGTGCATGTTTGCAGAGAGGCTTCTCCAGCTGTCTTCTGCTGATGAAATGGGTCATGCTGCCCATTCCGCTCCAGGCAGTTCTCACTGATCCTCCACAGTCCCACTACCTGCTGAACCACTGTTACCTCCTTAATTACTGAGCCCAGTTAAATCCCAACCTCAGATTCAAAGGGGATGGGAAAACCAATGTAGAAATGAGCACTGGAGACACAGACATGTGCTTTACAAATGTCACGGTTTATTTTTCTCTCTGTGCAAATCAGTGCTACTTAACATTACTATCATTTCACAGTGCAGGGGGCAGAAGTGATTACAATACTGCTTAAGCTGCAGTTCAGTGGGATTGTTCTGGGTCCTGGATCCCAGGCAATCTCCATGTGACGATGATCTGGAATAGAAAAGAACTGCACAGCCAGCATTTCCAATAGTTACTTGTAATACAATCTACCTTCACAGCATCTCCAAGGGAAGCCTGCTTTGCTCCTCAGGCATCACAGCATTCACAGCTGCATGCAGACTCCAAGCATCTACAGCCAGTGGCATATAAAAAGTTTAAGGCACCATTTCCAAGTCAGAGCTAGCAGAGACAGATGAGGAAAGAGCAAATGATAAGCTCTTTTCATAGCCACTTAATCTCACATAGGACAAAACAGAACAAAGTTTAGCAGTGAAAGGGAAAGCTGGTCCCTAGAGCAAGACAATAGGTTCCCAGCCTGGCCAGCAGCACCCACAGTCCACTGGCTGCTTTGCGAGCGGTCACCACTGGGACAGAGGGAATGGGGCATGAAGCCAGGCAGCACCAGCACTTGGAAAAATGACTGAAATCCCTGTATACAGCCAACAGGAAAGACCCGTGGGGATACTGTGCAAAAGTAGCTCATACCAGTCATCAGGAGATTCTCTGAGGAGTCAATCATGTGTGACATGGAAATTTCATTGTGCAATATTAAAAAGAAAATAAACACGTCACTTAAAGCACCCTTCCAGAGCTCATAGTCAGGCCACATTGGCTGCACAGTGTCCCATCACTGTTCAAGTGCGGAGAAGATGAAACCAAAAAACTGATTTGGGAAAGCAAAAGCAGCTCCCTCACCTGCAAGAGGGAGCCTAGCATGGGGCAGTGACATGAGGGAAACAGGGGGACAGCTGGACAGTGTCTGTACCACAGCTGAGTAGTTCAGGCACCAGTGCCTAAGGTAGCAGTCAGAGGAGCCAAATTTGTTTGCTACATCAGATTCAACTGTCCCACAAAACTCATTAGCAGTGGGTGGAGAGGCTACAAGTCCCAGCATCCACAGGGACCAACTGAGGGATGGCTCAGACCTCACTCATTATTAGAAGGGCTTTTCCCTGCCCAGCCTTTCCACAGTTGCTGGCTCTGACACCTCCTGGCCACAGAGCTGGGAGAGAAGAACCCTTTTTTGCAGGGATCTGAGCCCCCGAGTTAGGTAATGAGGCTGTTTAGAGGCAGTGTTGGTGTTTTCCTGAAAAGAGCAGACAGTCACAGCACAGCAGAGCTTCCTAGCAGTATCATGAAAACAATGGAAGGCTGTGACTGACCCATTTTTCAATCAAATGGAAAACTCTGCTTTTGTTTCCCATTTTAGTTTCTCCCCTTGAGACATCTCATAGCAACAGCTTTGCTCTGCTGTTAGCAGCCTGTCCTTGTAAGGAAAAGCAAGAGACCATTAATGAGCCAAATTTATCACTGGGGGAACTCTGCTGACCTAATTACACTAGCCACATATTTGACCCATTATGTTAACCTTCCTCTGCCTCCTCCACAGTTAAAAGGAAAACACCTTTTAACTTTAATCAGGACAGCAGGGAATACAAAGAGCAAGAATTTGAAAAAAAAAAAAAAAGAAAAAAGCCATGTTGTTCTCAGCATCCCACAATACAAGACTTGAAGCCATAACCCAAAGTGAAAGCACATGCATCTACAGGGGAGATGCATCAGCAATGGGTGCAGACACCCCTGACTAAGTCAGCTCTAACCTGTGCATATATATGAGCACTGGACGGATGCCTGAAGGACAGCCATTTACAGAGTGGCTCCAGGGATGTAAAGCCAGTCGGCAATGGCAGTAGGCAGGTGAGTCATGACTTGCAGCCTCACCCACCAGTAGGTCTCCATGGGATTGTAACGGTTGTTTGGGCTTGGGGAAGTGAGTGCATCAGTGATGTCATTCAAGACCAGAGACATGTCCTTCAGGCCACTGTTAATGAAGGACTTCATCAGGGCCACGTGGCGAGTGAAATACTCCCTACCATAGTCCTCCTGCACAGTGTCGCTGGCTCCTCTCCACAGTGCGTCAGCCTGTTTGTCGATGCTGTTTGCTGTCAGGATGCCTGTTGCTGCCACGAAGTTACTCGGCTCAATGAGGATAACTCTGACACCCCAGCGGTACATCTCCTGCCGTAGGCAGTCGGAGAAGGCTGCCACCCCAAACTTGGAAATGCAATAGCAGGAGCGAGATGGACTCGCCATCCGTCCCAACATGCTTGTGATATTCACCACACGGCCTAGAGAGAAAAGAGCAGGGAGAGACGATGGGCCACAGAAGCAGCAGCCAGAACATCCCAGTAAAAAGGTGCCTTGTTGATTTGTAAAATCTGAATCTTGAAGAGGCACCCGAATCCCCTGTCGAGGAGCCTTTCTCTCCTGACCAAGCAAGGCTAGCCCCTGCTCTGACCTCCTCCATGGATGGTACACATACCTGCCTCTGTATTAAAAAGGATTTACAAATCATACAAGACATTCCTCTCCTAATTTCCAAGCAGAAAAGTACCCAGATCTTCTGAGAAGACCAGCTGTGCGCTCTCACATCAGTCTGCCCCACTCCTGCATCTTGCTAGAGAAACGGTCAAGCTCCCAGCTAGCAGTTATGAGTTGGAAAGCACACAACAAACACAGCGTGATGCCATGCAAGCTTTCTGGTTCTTTCTGTAAGCACAACAGCTCATCTGCATCCACTCTGCCTAACACAGCTACATGCTTCTAGACCTGAGCTGGATGGCAGAGAACCAGTAGAGGTTTCTCTGAACCTGCAGCATAAGCAGCACAGCCTGCTCACCCAGCTGGCTGGCCAGGAGTGCCTAGAGTGCTACATGCCTAGGACAAACAGGGAGGAGACTTGATGTGCTGTGGCCTATGGGGCAGTGAAGAGCAATTGTCCTAACTCCCACCAGCAGCCCAGCCCAATTGCAGAGCTCTGGCAGCTTGTCTTAGATCATGCAGTGCCTAGGGGCAGTGACAGCAGTGGTCACTCCTCTGTGGGTGGTTCTGTCCTTCCCCAAGACAAGATGTGTGCAATTACGTTTTCAGATGCACTTACAAACAGGTCCTTGAAATCTCACCAGCTATTTTTACAGTGAGGATTTTTACAGCCATGGAGCATGACACCCTTCTGCAGCTTGAAATTTTAGCTGAGAAACAAGTGGGTGGCTCTGCTCTCTCATTCCACACCTAAGTGCAGCTTGGAGGGACTGTGAGAACCACCTGCTAACCTGATGGGTAAGCTACCTTTTGTAGTGAGATGGGGCTTGTTTAGTGGGTACTTGCTTTCTGGAAATGGTATCTGAGCAATCTTCTCAATATAACCCCTTTCTTTCCTCACAGAACACACAGCTGTGCCAATATTCTCCCACATGTGCTAAAGAAAGCTCTTCAGAGTTCTGCTAATACATATCTTTTTTTTATTTTTAATATAATAGAAAGACTTTTGATAATAATGTTGTCTTGTAAGATACCTAAAATGGCTGTTATTGACTCTCATTTATTCCACCACTACCACTCTGCAATCATCTGTGAATTGAATAACATGAAGGGAAAAGATTCAGTTATCCAAACATAAGTACTTGGTGGACTCTGGAAGCCAGGATTATCTTGTCTGGGCTCCGGTCACTTTTTCTAAAGGTGGCCTGGAGTCCTGGGTCATATCTGCCAGCACTGCACAAAGGTCTCTGATATCCTGGGATGTTTAAGATAGCACCTGCTGTGTAGCTGCCTGGACTGCCCCAAGGGTGGCCTGTACTACCAAATGCTTATACAGCATGTTGAACCCTGCTGCCTAGTTTGTCTGCATGCCTCAGACACCCTCGTTGAACTGCACAGGCATTCCTTGAAGCACAGTCCAAGTCATGATTTTTAGCTACATCTCTTTGCTGTGCTGCAAAAGCTCCAAGTCTTGCTACACTGCCCAGCATGTACCTTTAGCTCTGCGAATGAGGGGCAGAAAAGCCTTTGTCACCCTCACGGTGCCCCACAGGTTGATATCTGCCACCTTCTTGTAGTTGTCTAAACTTGAAAATTCCACCTCTCCAAAGGTTGAGATGCCAGCATTGTTCACCAGGCCCCACAGACCTGCCAATAAACACATGGTTAAAGAGTGGAATGAGGAAGAGTGTCGCAGAGAAGCGGCTGTTCAAAGTAACCCAACCCCTTGACAAAGAACTGGGCGCTTTTGTAGAAAAAAGTTGTAGAGAAAAGCACAGCAAGCAGATGAAATACACTCTTGGTACACCAGAAGTGAAGCCAGTGGGGCTTGTTTGGAGCACCAGGGAGAGTGATGGGGTCACACAAGCATTGCCTCCCTGAATGTCTCCTCTAAGGTCAAATGCTGTCCTGAGGCTTTGTATGGCTGGATCTCGCTGACCCTTTTTTGTGGTTCCTGTTGGTCCCAGGTTTGTATTCACTCAGTGACTTTATCATGGCTTTTGCAATTTGGAGACGGCTGGACTTTCCCTCAATTTAAAAAAAAAAAAAAAAGGAAGGAAAATTATTATCTTGGAGTTCTAAATCCCCTTCACAATTCTGACTCCCTGTTTTGGAGAGTGTGTGGTATTGATCTGCAGGTTCATGGCCCAGTTAACAGCTGCTGTATTTTAGTTCAGGTATTTGGTTTCCCTCAATCCTAACTCCAGCAGAAGATGGCAAACTTACAAACAACCTTTAAAACTACTAGAATTTAAAAATGAACGTCTTTTGTGCCTGCAGTCCTGTCAAAATTAAACTGACTGTGCTTACCAACAGCTTCTGCACTGAGCCCCTTACATGTCCAGGACTTAGCACATCACTGAGGACTTGACCCTTTGAAGCAATTACTGCAGGAGTCTCGGCGGCAAACATTCGTAGGACTGAGTCCATACTTTGTGAATTTGTTGAAGCATAGGACTATGCAGCCATAAACTGCAGGAGGAACAAACAGAAGAGCTGAAACAAGGTAACAGAGTTGTTCCTCATTAGATGTCCTGCCATACCCCATGGTTATTTTTCACTGTGTAAGTACCCAGTTGGAGTTGGGGCCCCTTTCAACTCCCTCGCCTTCCTCTTACCACCAAGAACACACACGGGGCTAAGGAGAAGTATTTACATCCAGGGAGCTCTGACATTGCTATCAAAAGCACCCACGTCATGCCACCCTGTTGATAAAACTTATCAAGCTCTTTCTCTAAACTCTTTGGGCTGTTTGCCCTCCCTCTGCTCCATAGCTTCCCTGCCCTGATGTATGAGTCTTGTAATAATTTCCAACCTATATTTATTCATGGTTGGATAGTAACCATGTATTGTACCAAACACAGGCCCCTAAGCAAATTGCAATATTCTACCATTGCCCAATAAATACCAATGGAATTTATACTCCTGGTGCATTTAAAAACACCAACACACCGTTGCTAGACTGGCTCTCTACTCACACCAGCCCTAGTAACCCTGCCCCGTTCCCAGCTAAGTTCATCTTTCCTGAAGGCTGTTGACCAGCCATGTATAGCAGACCAGAGACATCCTGCCCTGTGATAACAGTGCATTAACCATTCCCTCATGGTCTGTCCCAGAATGGATTTGCCTATTATAGCTGCCACCATTCCCGCATCTCACAACTCTCACACAGTGATCCCAACACCCCTTTTGCCCTGCACACCTGTCTCAGACAGACAGTGGTGAACATTGCTCCAGTTCACTGGCCTGCAGCTCTATCCTCCTGCAGAACAACCCTTTCCTGACCCCCACCAGGCCACTGGAATAATGGCTAAACCATGCCCTGCAGCAAAAGCCAAGAAAACATCTTGCTCACCTATCCTTACTTCTGTTTTTATTAATTCAAGTTTCTAAATGCTGCAGTCAGGTAGTTCTACTCCTCCTCTGCCCAAGATCCCCTGCCTGTCACTTCTGCGCTTACTGAAGCTGCCAGCTTTAATGAATCAAGATAACTCTGAAATTCACACTCAACTGGCAGCCAGCACAGCATCTCAGCCTCAGTGGGGTCCCCTGTGCTGCTGCAAAGGTGGCTCTAATCGCCAGCAGAAGGACCAACCAAGGAAACAGGGCATCTGATGGTGTAATTTCACCAGTAACATGAAGCTATGCAAAGCAAATTTGAAAGGGATTTACCAAAGACCACAAAAGACTTAAACTGTCAGTCCCAAACTAACCTCTACAGAGTATTCCTGATCCTAAATTTCTCTACAACAACTTCCCATTTCTTGGGTTACGAGGTTAGATTCAGGGATGTTTATGAACACATTATTTCCAATCATTCATTCTTGGAATTTCATTGCTCACTGATCGGGTCAGTTACACACAGAACAAAGTGCTGATAGGTACCTGGTCACGGGCTGTTTGTTTGCTGGACAGCGGTGTGTTTATTGAGAACAGCCTTATCACTATTATTTGTTTAGTGTCAACAGTACAGTGGGAACTGCTTGAAAACAAACAGGGGCACTCCTATCGAAATGAGTTTAGCCTTATGTACACAGCACAGGGAGAAGAGGTATAAATGTGCAGTGCAAGAACTGTTCTGCACTAGCTCCTCTGGAGCCACACTCAGTGTGCAATAAGCACCTCTGTGCAAGGCTCCTCAGTCTCAATAGCCTCTACTTTCCCGCATTATTTACTGAGTACTATTTAATCACAAGCCCCAAACCTCGGTCACACTGATGTACCTAAAAAGAAGCCTTTGCTGCTTTGCACACTGTGCTGGAGCAAACAACTACAGAATAAGGCTCAAGAGCAGGAGGAACCAGTCCAACTTGCTGATCAAGGATGCAAGACTTCTCTGTCCCTGCTACACACACGGTTTTGCAAACACTGCTGCATTTATAGAAGCAACAGAGCTGCTCCCTTACAAGCTTTCACTCAGTGGAAAATGGCTCTGTGCCACCACTGCTGTTGCTGGGCTCTTCAGGAAAGGCTTGAGAAGCTGTGAAATGTGATGAGGGCTGGGCGATTATGTAGGAAGAAAAATCATGCAGAGAGAACATGTGTGGGATCAGAGCTTGTACGTAACTCTGTCGCACTTCATATGCTTGTTTTAGGAGGAAGGGTGTGCTCATGTAATTTGCATGAAGATTAGATCTATTGTTATTTACTAGCTTTATACTTGCTGTGAACAAAGACAGGCCCATGACAGTCTCATCCAAGCTTCAAGAGGAGCAACCACCCTCCAGCCAGACAACCCTTAAGTCCTGGAGCCACAGATGTGAAACTTCAGTCCACCCTCAACCTGGGTCTACAGCTGTCCAGCTTGCTACTTGCACAGAGGCTGCAGAGAAACCTACAGAGGGCAAGAAGCCTCACAGCCTCACCACATGGGAAGAGGTTAGGTGGTGTCACACCAGGCTCCGACTGTAAGCTCACATCCCACTGTCAAACCACTGCCAAGAAGGAAAGAAGCATGCAGAAGAGACTCCTATCTTCTTTCACGTGCTCTTAGGATCCATGAGTTGGACTTGCACTTAAGGTGGCATGTGGGTTAAGGTGGTCTATGCGAAGCCCACCCTGGATCCTGCCTCACATCACCTCTGGGATGTTGCATGGCAAACTGAAAGCATGGATTGACCTGGCTGAAGAATAATCCAGGTTTGGGGGCAGGTCAGTTTTGTGCTCCAGCTCAGCACTCAGTTACACAAACAGGTTGTACCAGCACAGCAGAGGGGACAGCAGTAAGCAGCCAGGGCCCGTCACCTCTTTACTAGCAGGGTCGCTACAGAAAGGTCTGTGTGAGCCAGGCTGCAGCAGGAGCACCAGGAGAGGATCAGGCTCCGGCCATCCTATGCCCTTCACAGACACTACAGGAGAAAAACACAGGCTCTTGTGGGCTTGCTGCCACTTATCACTTTTTACGGGATGTAGAGTTAGAGCCTAATCCTCCAGCCAGTCTTAGTCTCTTTCCATGTGGCTGGCACATCAACAGCAAGACAATTCTCCTCAATTCTCCTCATAGCACTGCCTGATTGCCAGCCACACACTATCACAGGCCTCCAGGCTTGTTAACCCTCTTTTGGTGGTGCAGAGAGGGCCAAGAGCATGGCCTGCTCTGTAGGAGGGATTCTGTGAGCAAAGAGCCAGCTCTGCTGGAAATACAAAGATCCCCACATACCTTCCTCTGGCTCCTTCAGGGTCCTCTTCACAAAATCCACAGCCTGAGCCACCTCCTGGTCACTGCAGACATCCATCTGTAGCACTTTCATGCGATCTGACTTCATGTTCTTCAGCTCCCTGGCTCCGTCTCCATTCTCGTCCTGTTCAGCAGCAAAGAAAGATGTCCCGCTAAGATGGACAAGGAACAGTAATGCAGCTTGGGGCCAGGCACGTTCACATGGACAGGAAATAGAATCTATTGAAATTGCACACAGAAGTGTAAACCTGGTGCACAAATAAGCACACGAGCCACACAAACCAGTATGCAACCCACAGCCATCTTCCTATTCCCTCCAGCACAGCTCCTATATCTGCATCAGTGACCCACTGCTCTGAAGGGCCACAAAGCCCCGGCTATTAGCTCCTTGCATGAAGGGTTTCACATCTGTAACACTGAAATACTGTGCCAGCCTGGGATAACCGTGGGTGACTCTCCACTGCCTCAGTCTCCATACTCCGCAGGTAACATAGCAAACACTTCTACAGAAAACAGAATCAGATTTTCCAGGCTTAAAAATGAAAGGCTAATTAGGCACTGTACTCACATCATCCCAAAATATCGCCTGGCTTCTAATGAAATAGTATTGTCAGACCATTTTGAAAACAAGACAGCACGGACACCTTTGGCATGCCTAACAGCAAATAGTCTGACACTACAAGATACAGTAGGAAACATTTACAGCTGAACCTATATAATAATATTTTGCTCTTGCTACACAGCGGAACAGCATGCACAGGAATACATGTACAGTGGAGGTCTGCCACACAACGACAAGATTACAGACATAAGGCATGAAAGGAGGAGATTCTGGCTGAGGAAGCAAGAACAAGTTTTTCGTTTTGTTTTTCTTCCACACTATAGGTAGTAAGAACACGATGGCTCTGCTTTCCTTTCCACCCTTTTCCTTTCTTCCCCCCCCTCCCTGCTATCATTAGAGATTCTGTTACTATTGTGGGGGGTTTTCTGTAGTCAAACATAAACACAGCTCAAATTCCAAATTTTACCTGGTTACTTCCAGACAAGATTGCTGCCTAAGCCTTACAGCCTTGTTCAGGTGGTAAATAACAAATAAAAGTGAAAAGAGCACAGATTTGCCATGCAGTTCCACAGCAGGCTCAAGATTTAATTCACCAAACTACTCCCTGAATCACAGGCTCTGCCCCCTTAGGGAGGAAGAAGTTATGAATTAGTGAGTCACCATGCCTGGCTGCCACTCTTCCTTTAGCACTTGATACCAACTCCCACAGCCCAAGGGCAAACAAGGTGAGCAACCCTCCCACAGTCACCTGCTCAGCTGCCTCTGTAGCCAGGCTGATGTAAAGAACATGTAACCACTTAGTTTTTCTATACATATCTCAAGCTATTTAATTAATATAGTATACAACATTTTACCTCCACCTTCAGCCCAGTGAACAATGACATGTAATGAAGGAAAAGAATTGAAATGTTCATCACAGCCATGAGCAAAACAAGGTAGTTCTCTTAAAAATCAATATATAGTTACACCAGCATTATGACAATAGTAGGAATGAGGTGCTGGCCCCATGGCTGCATATCATTTCACCACTGACTTATTTCCAGGTATCACAAAAACAGCAAATAAAGACTTGAAGCTTTTCTAATGCACATCAAACACAGTGACATGCTGTGTCTAGCCCTCTTATCTAGCCACAAAAAGAATCTCTGAAAGTGGCGTTACAAGTAGTTAATAACATAGTCACCAAAACACTATATTCCCTTTGAAACAGGTGAGGGTTGTGCAATGCCTCACTATATTTCTGGCAGATGCTCTTGCATCTGACCGAGTCATACAAAGCAACTTTCAGCTGCTTAACAGTGACTAAAGTGGAGCTAATTCAGCTTGTAAAGAGAGAGATTTACTGTATCTGTATAGAAACAAAAACTTAACTATATCTGTACTCAAGTACCAGTTGTCATTTCAGAGCACTGAAAACACTTTTCCCTCATGTTTTTTAATCTTTCAAAATCCTCATAAACTATGTAAGAAATATTTCCACTGTTTTTTTGAGAAACAAAGTCATAGGCCAGCAACTTAAAATTCCAGTATAAATGGTTTGTATTATTCATATTGATACGAATTTTCCCCGATCATCAATGCAACTCAATCTGCAAAGTTACCTTCCCAGCTTCAATTTATTCACTGTAGACAAAACATATTGATTTTGGAAGACTGACTTCCACATGCAATATCAACTGGAACCACTTTTCACAGTTGCAGACACCACCTCAGCCACTATCTAACTGCAAAACAAATTGCTTAACTCTTATGCCCAGAAAACCTCTTCACAAATGAAGCAGCCGTGTATTTTCATAGAAAGAAGTGAACATCATCTTATGTTCTGTGGTCTTCAGGGGCTGTAAGCATGTTCCCTGTTCAGATACCCACATGGTACTTCCTCCTTGTTTTTTAAATGGTCGATTTGCTGGCTGGGAAAATACCTGGAGGCATTCCCATGGCAGCAGCCAGACTGTCCTCTCTGGGATGGCCTTCATGGCCTTGGGACTCACCAGCAGGAGCCATGCAGCAGTGTGAGTCAAGAGAGGTCCTGGCAGCAATGGTCCAACTGCTCCTGCAAAACCTCTCTCCCCCTCCCTTTGCTACCACTTTTTTTTTTTGTCTGATCTTTGTCCTCTCAAGAGACTCTCCCAGCTTCCTTTTCCCAGTTTCATCAGCATTGAAAGCTGCCCTGCTCCAGCCCAGCCTGCTGCCCAAGTACTCCAGAGAGGCCCTCAGTGGGACTTTGCTGTTTCCTCCCAGCTATCTCACTTCCCCCGGTTATCCTGCCCTCGCAGCCCTGCGTGGCTCTGGCTGCCCACCCCACCCTCTGCCTAGCAGGGGCTGCTTCTGGGCAGGGAGCCCAACAGCCACACGAGCCCTCTCCACCGAGCAGAGGAGCTTTGCTCCAGCTTTCGGCTGCCCCCCCCTTCCTTGCTCCACTCCCCTGCTCTGGTTCGGAGGATCCCAATGCAGCTGGTGCTGAAGGACAGGCAGGTCACACAGGGACTTGTTAGCAAAGAGCTCTCCTATAATGGACCGAGCCACAGCTTCTTTCCAGGGAAGTTCGTGGGATGCAGGATTAGGTCCTGGCAAGCACTTGGGCACCTGCAGTGAGATGTCAGTGGGAATCAGGAAGCCATGAACACAATGCTGAACACCCGTGGATCTGGCTGGTTTACTCTATCTGCACCAGTTCCCCCCAACCCCGCTGCTGCCTATCCACCCGCTCCCTTCCTGTGCTTCCTGGGCAGAACACGTCACATCATACTCATCATTACTGGGTTCCACCCAATTGATTTCAGGCTCCATCCTATCTACCAGGATCATTTTGAACCCTATTCCCCAAATGGCCTGCAATCCTCCCTGCTTGGCACCATGCACATTTCTTTCCAAGTGAACTCTCTATTCCAGGGGCCACTTCCAAGAAAATTTCCCTGGGACTGAAAAGCAGTCACAGGCTTAGAGCACAAGTTTGCTCATGAGACCATCATGAGGGCCTGTGTCAAAACCCTTATTCAGGATGCATTTATTCCTTCCCCTTTAACCACTCTGCTGCTTAGCCAGAATGAGATTAGACTGATACGGCACAGTCTGTTCCATGTAAACTTATACAGTGTCTATCAGGCTATGATCTAGACATTTGTAAAATTGACATATCAGCGTGTTGCAATTTCATCTAGCGCACCGAAGGCGAGCTGCCTGGCTGTCAGTTCCAGAGGTCTGTCTCCTTTGGGAAGGGATGTACAATATCTGCCCTCTTCCAGCCTTCTGGAAATCCCCCGGCCTCCAAGTGCTCCTGAAAATATCGCCCATGGGGCAGAAATCACAATGGCTCATCCTTTAAATGCTCTTCAGTACATTTATGTCAGGCCTGGTGAACTTGAACATACCCATTTATGTAAACATTCCCTGTTCCTTCTCTTTTCTTGCCTGCAGTCCTCACGAAAACTGCTGGCAGTAGGCATCTGAAAACAATTTATGCTTTTTTTTCAGTAAGATCAAAGAAAATAAGACAATGATTATTTCAACTTTTTCTGTACTTTCTACTTCTCAGGTTATTTTGTAATCAATTTCTGTGTGTCTTTCCATCTTAACCCTAATATATTAACAGAAACTTTCTCTGTGGACTCACATGTCCTTGCTAAATGAAATCCCTTTTGCACTTGATCCTCTCCAGTTCTATCCCAGCCTGCCTGCAGTATTCTTGTTATTCCTGTAACTTTATTTTTGACTGTCTGATCCTTAAGAAGCTCCTGATGCACCTGACAGTGTACCATCTTGTATTTAATGCAAGAGCTTTCAGTGGTGGTTAGTACATCAGGGATCCTTTAATTCTCTGTATAAAAGCATGCAAGTAAGTGATGATGGTGTAACTATGTGTGAACTAATAGCCTGGCATCTGCTCTATGACAACTGTCCCCATACCTGCTCTGACCCTGCAGTGAACCTACAGCAGCTCATGCTTCTCTCTTGACAGGGTAAGTTTCCTTGCATTTGTCATGAGCAGTTAATGCACATTGCCAGTTACCATAGGGTAGCTGCATCCTTAGCCACACTGCCTGTGCACTCCTTCACTTATCAGCAATAATCACTTATATGCTCATACTTTGTTCTCCACAAGTGATCTGACCTAACAGCTCCCTGCCTTCACTGGTGTTTCCTGCTTCTTTTGGATCCATCATCCTTTTCTGTAGTCACTATATGCTTCCTTTTCTCGGAGCAGTCAGCTCTAGATTTATAACCATTTTCATCCCATGTCCATTACTACCATTAGGATTTCAGTAAGCTCCTGCTCATCAAATTCTAAATTCCCAGGCTATTATCTCCCTCAACCATCTAAAACACGAGGCTGTTCAACATGAGGATGCTGGCTGTCCCAAGAATGGTAGAAAGCATTTGGCTGTAACATTTTTGCAACAGCTATCCAGATAACTGTGTTACCACCAGACTCTATTCTTCAGATGCACCTAACAGCAGATAAGACAACACTAACAACCTGGGGGGAAGAAACCACAAGTAAAATCCTGGGGCTCTGCGTCTGGGTCTCCTAAAAATTTATTAGCACACAGAACAAGAAAAAAAAGTCACATTCTCCCACTCTACCCCTTCATGGTCAAGTGCTCAGTTAATCTCCTGAAAGTCACCTGCAGATCAACTATGACTGCTGATGCATTTTCCACTTCCACACAGAGTACAAGTATGGAACCACAAAAGTTTTGGCTCCGAGTAAGAAGTTGCTGAGCCAGATCAGAGGGGATGCTGAGAGCTGCCCAACCATTCTGGGACAGGTAATATAATCTGTGATTGAAAAGTAATATATAGTTTTTTCATCAATAATACAAGCAAGCAGGGCTCACTTCAGGAGCATTTAGTTTCTTCACATGGCTCCAAATAGAGTCTGGCCCCCTCTGCTCAGCACTAGCGTGCTGCCTTCTGAACAGCCTCTCAGACCACCCTATCTCCCCTCTCCTTTCTATTCCCTACACCTGCTGCTCCTGCAAAGTGAGTGCCTGACTTGCTATCACCACAGAGACAAGCATCCCAAAGCAGCATATGACATGATTACTGAAGGATTTACAGAGCCTCCACATGGAAATTTCCAAATAGTGGCAATTTTCCAATAGGACTCTCTTGCTCTCAAGTTACACAATATGTCAGCTGATAATAACCTTCCCTTCTGGTGTGGTGGAAGAACGTAACCTCCGCTGAGATCACACAGGCAATGAGGCCCACCTTTTTTTGTTTGTTCTCCACACTACTCAAGAATCTGTAGTCATCACTCACTGAGCACCTATGCCGAAATGGCCATCTTCAAATGGAGAAACAAGTGGGTATGAACTGATTTTGAACAATTCAGGTCAGAAATTACATGAGTTTTGACTATCAAAACAGCAAAAAAGCATTGTAAGAGTAAACCCCAGCTGAGCTGGAAGTGGAGCTGGCCCAGTTTATAAAGAGGATTACACAACACTGTTACCTGCAAGAGCAGGGACTGGGGTGATGGATCTGCAACCCCTTCTGATTCAGTGTGCCTAAACTGATCTCTTACAACAAGTGATGCCATCTGCCAAACACAGGTGACAGAGGGTGAGACCTACAGATATCAGAAAGGTACATTAAATTTGTTTATTCAGCTATCCAGAAACTGAATAGCTTCTACAGAAGCTGTACAAGTGCAGTTAGAAGACACTTTGGAAACAGAACCTCAACAAGGCAGGAGAGGCAGCTTGGAGATGTTTGAGGAAAGTGTCCCCAAAGGAAAGCGACAAAACAAAGGACAGCAACAGAGATGCCAGGGAAGACAAAAAGCCACAGTGCCACAGTAATCCTGGACTATCAGATTTATTCAGTATGTTGCGGTATTGCTGAGAGGCTTCCAGCAGTGAACAGTGCACTACTGTGCAAGGTGCTGTACAGACATGCAGTTGACAGACAGTCTCTGCCCTAAAGAGCTCAGAATTACAGGAATGACAAGATGCAACAGGCAGATGAAGCAATGGAAGATGTAACGATCCCTGCCCACTGCACTTCCCTCAGGTCTTGGACTAGGGTAAATGAAGGCTGCAGATGAAGATGCTGTCGCTTGAGAAGCATTTTCCTCCAATCGGAGAAGAATTTTGATCAATATTACTACTCACCATAAGCAAGCATCCAGCAAAAACAGTAAATCCCTTTGCGTGAAGTCGTTTTGCCAAGGCATGTCCAAAACCTTTGTCGCAGCCTGTTATTAGCACTGCCTTCCCTTCAGCCTGTGTGGGGAAAGGCAGTAATACGGTATCAGATATTGCAATGCTGCATGCACCACCAACACCTAGCAACACAGCACAGGAGCAGCTTGCAGCCCTGCAGCCAGGGCCAGCCAGTGTTTAGGATGTACGATTCCAGCTGAAAGTCACAGTGGCCATGTACCTGTCTGCACATTAACCTGACCGCAGCCTAAACCCAGCAATTTCAGTGGAGCTTCTGCTGGGTCAACCAGCGTAAATTAGGTGACAAGATTCCTGTATAGAAACACAACCAGCTCCCAACTACTGCGAAACCCTAAATTTATTCAATTGCTGGTCTGTAATGATTTGTGTTGCCTTGATACCTGAGCTAGAACAGTAACGCTTTCTTTCAAGGATCAGTGGCCAAAGCAGAACAGAAACATTTCAAAAGAAGTTAGTGATCTTCCAGCTCACAAGCATTGTAGAAAAAGCAGCATAGAAAACATCCAAATGATAGTATGTCACCAGCTTGACCTGTACAGCAGCTCTTTTAACTGCAGAGTGACTCTCTATTGTCTGTTCCCCACCTACTCCCACTCTATGCGGTACTTTCCATGCTGTATTTTAGCACGGAGGAATGTGACTACAGGTTAGGGTTTCCTTCTGAAACACTGCAGTCTTAACAGGAACAACTTATCAAATCCTGCAGTTCTCTCCTACATTATTATTATCTTTTGACTGACAGAGACATTGAGAGAGAAGATTTGATACTCCATCTGGTATGACACAACAGGCTTGTGACAGATCTGAAAACAGAATACCAAACCCTGAAGAGAAGTCTGTAGCGAAACACTGCCCATTCACCCTCTTTCTTTGCTTGAAAGCCATCTCTCCCCTGCTCTCCTCACCACAGCTGTGCAGCAATGAACTCCTAATGCTTAACCCAACTAGCAGGCACCCAGCTGCAGTGCTGCACACTGCTCCAAACTGAAACCATATCTGTGAGGCAATAACGCCATATAGTAATAAAGATCTAGAGAATGCAATAAGGAAGTGAGGTCACTTCCATCTCTGTGGAGATATCTGCAACTAATACTCCCTGTTCCTGTATTAACAATAGCTGGAATATGAACATTTGTATTTTATACTACTTACGTATGAATTGCACTGGCTTGTCCAGCCACTTTTTCCAGACAGAAATGGGGCAATCACCAATGCTCTCTGGTCTCGTTTTGCTGACACGCACGGTAGGGAAATGGCAACAAGGAATAATTGCAGGGTGATAGTGATCAGAGCATTACTGTACAAACACAAGATGACTCTAAGCAGAGAGCAACAGGCAAATAAGCTACACCCTGTCCTGTCCTATAACTCATGTTGAAGTTATTGCTTTCAAAGGGGAGTCATGATCTGAAGTTGAAATGAGAACTGATCAAAAGTCTATCCTGCATTTATCATACAAACACTCACATTAACACTGATTCCTACACTCAAAGAGCACCCAGCTACAGACTAGCTCTACTAAAGCTCTGAAGGCAGCTACAGGACAAAAGATAAGTGAGAATTAAATATACAGTGCTCAGTCTTAATTTAATTTACAGTGACACCAATCCAAGAAAGATGAGGATCAAGTAAGAACCAGATCACAGAATTTGCCATGGTTACCTCCCACAATAATTCAGCAAGCTGGCCCATAGAAAAGAAAGATTTGACTTTTTTTCTCTGCCTCACCTCCCTAGACCCTTTGCCTCTATATCCTGAAGACAGAGGACTTCCCAAAAGAGCAGGAACTGCACAGGAGATAAGGACTTGCAATCACTTCCAGAACCCACGGCAGGCAAAGAAGCTACCCCATCCTCAACCATCATTAGCTCCTTCATCAGCCAGTCTGATAAGGACAGAGCTCAGCTGCAGGAAATAAAAGCAAACGGCTGGGCTGCCTTCCTGTGTGCATCTAGTTTTAGCTCTCAGCAGCTGGTTTGCCTTCTCTGGTTAAAAAAAATCCCACCAAAATGTAGACAGAAAGGAGGAGGTTTAAAAATCCTCTCAGCTGTCTATAATGGGGAGAAAAATGAGGAACAACTTACAATATGAGAAAGTTCCTGTGATTATTTGCTAACTATTTGCTATCGCCCTAATTGCTGGTAATAAAACATGTGACTACAGCAGCATGGTTCACAACAGACTGAGTCCCCAGCAGCGCTAAGCATGCAAAAACCCAAGGTATGTATCAGATCTCACATCTGTAGCTGCCCCCATCTTTGTGCCATGCCTGGTCGACAAAGAGCTCCCAGGGACGAGAACAGGGAGCAACCCCATTCCCAGCCAAAAAGATCCTATTCCCAAAAATCCTCCGAACAGGGAAAAGCCTGATCTTCCTTATCTTTCGGAAGTCCCAAGATTAAGGCCTAATGGGCCTCATTCCCAGAGTCTGATAAGGTCAGTCTGCAGCTTAGAGTTTGCCGAGACAGGCAGAGAGGACTAGCTATCACCTCTCTAGCAGGCAGCACGGTGACCTTCATAATCGTTCTGAGGAATTTCAGGTGCCTCACTCACTAACAGTCACACCGTGCTCCCAGGAAATACTGCACAGGAGAGGCACTCGCGTACAGTGCTGCCAGGGCACATGAGACCTGCTAAGGGTGCAGAGTAACTTCTTGTTCTGGAGGTGCTGTTGTGGGATCTGGGCAGGGTAATGCTGCCTGTATCCTTGCTGTGTGATCCACAGCACTGTAATACACCTTCCACACGGTTCAAACAACCCCAGTGAGGCAGCCCAATTTCAACCTGCAGCCAGCTCAGGCACACACGCCTCACTAGTTTCCTTGCTGGGATACGATCGCTTTGTTAAATAGTAGAATTTATTTTACTCATGCAGGTGATCTTTCAAAATTATACACATTTATTGGAAAAGAGGGTAAGGAAAGTGAAGCTACCTTGTCAGCCTCAGTCTCTCTGGACAATGAGGGAACCCACCATGCTTGCCTAGACTTTATCTTCTTCTACTGCGTCGCTTGTTTCCTGGATCCTGTTCCCTTTTATGCCCTCCCCGGCCATCTGCTTGTTATTAAACAGATTAATTTGAAGATGAGAGCAGTTACACAGTAAACTTTGGTTGTTCCCTTGCTTCCAGAGTCAGGAAGTTGAGGTTTTCAATACCAGGAAAGGGAACTGAAAATATTCACTAAAGGGGAGGTATTTTCTCAGGTGGGACAGGGATGGGGACTGTAAGAGGAGCAGAGCACATGGAAGAAGAGTGAAATGGGAGGCTGCAAACTGGCCAAAGCTGTTATCTGGCCGTTTCAGAGGGGCAGGACGGGGCTGGAGGCGCGGAGGCAGAAACGGGTTCACTTGCAGGTTCTCCCCGGTGCCTGCAGGAGGGCCGTCTGGAGCATAAGCAAGAGCTAAGTCAACTCCAATCCAGTTAGAGAACCCCAGACATTTCGTGTGTTTTTTAAAAAACGTGTAAAAGAGACTGGCTATGCAATTCTGCTCCATTCGCAGGGCCGTTTTTCCTCCCTCATGCTCATTTCCAAATAGAGAGTACTGGAACAAAATCCACGCACCCACTGCTTCACGAAGCCCCTGAAGTAGCAGGGGGTTCCGCAGCAGCGGGGGGGTCAGGCCGGCGGCCGGCAGCCGCACCGCGGCCCCGGCCGAGCCCCCTGCGAGGGGCCGGCAGCCCGCCCGAGGCTCTTCGCAGCTCGGCGTCCCGCCTCCCCTCGCAGTGCCCGCGCTCAGCCTCCACCGGCCCAGCCGACCGATAGGGCGGCGCCGTTGCGGCTGCCTGCAACTGCCGCGGGCGCGACGCCTCAGCCCCGGCCCGGTTAAACGGCAGCCGGCGGCAGAGGCGGGCTCGAAGGCGCGGCGCCATTTTGGGCCCGGGGGGGGGGAGCGCCTCCGGAG